TCTCTTCTCTCCTCTCCTCTCCTCTCCTCTCCTCTCCTCTCCTCTCCTCTCCAAGTAGCCTTCGATACAGAGTTATTTAAAGCAAGCTCTGAGCAGATTTTCTACAAGTGGCGCCAATGAGATTTCCTTAGTCGCAAGCTTCATAAACAACTTCTCCAAATGAACGAATACCAACGTACACTTCATGTTCAATACCTTTCGATAGCTCACAAGAGCTCAAATCCGGAACCCTAATTGCGGTAAATTGAATTCCTCTTCAATAAAAAGCGACCGGCAAAACAGAGTCTCGTATCTTGACGTTGAGTTCCGACTGGCGGGTTCAGGGTAGCTGTCTTTGGAGACAGCCCGTTTCATCTAAAACGGAAATAATAAAAACAAGTTAGGATAAACATAACGATATCTCACCGGAAAAACCCTTCTTACTCAGTCACGATAAGTCTGTTGTTATGAAGTCGCGATGATAGTGTATAAAATTCAATCGCACACTTGAACTTGTAGCTCGTCACGTGACCTTCAAAAAAGACAAAGCGCGGGCTTTGTACTCAGTTTGAAAGCAATTTAAGAATCCCTATGAGAATATTTAAAGGCTAAAAACGAACAGCATCCTTAAAACAAGCAAAAAATAACTTTATCCTAGATATAATGTGACAAATGACAGATTACTGAAGGGTTTTTTTATCAGCGAAAATCATTTGCCGACCTTTCATGGCTAGACCTGTCATTATCGGTTCGTGATGACTTGACGTTCGTTAATGAATTTCTCAAGGAATTTTCCCACATGAGCAGTGTGATGTCTTATTCGAAACTTTATTGAACAAGTTTTTAAGGTGTACAGATTGATGACATAAAATTTTAGGTAAACGTTTCCAATAAAGTACAAGACCGAGGAAGTTCAGCCTTTATCGAGCATCTAAAAGTAACGTTTTCATATTTTGATTTTTATACGTAGAGGGTGGATTTAAGAAAAAGGAAAAAAAAAAAGAAAAAAGAAAGAAAGTCTTTTAGAAGCGAAGAACTTTGGAGATTCTCTACGGCTCATGCGGAAAAAAAAAAAAAAAACCTGAATCCTTTTACGCGAGATTTTATCATACGGGTTTTTTTTTTCCGAGATAACATCAGAAAAACTCAAATTACATTTTAGATTACCCCATTTAGCCAAGCGAATACGAGTTCATTTTTGTGGTTTACTCCGTCGAGACAGAGGTCACTCCGCGCGCGCGCACGAAGATGTAATGGCTTTCACCTGATTTCGTCCCTCCTTCTTCCGGATACCACAAATTACGTAAGAAATGTTAGCGTCCCGTCCACCCTAATTAGTCTAGCTATATTTGATAATAGATGTGCGAGTACATTAAGTTCTCATGCCCAGAGGAAACAAGTTTTGAGTTCCACTTGTCAATCAAATTTTTGTTCCAATATAAAACTTCATCAGATGCTCTTAGACAACCTCTAAAACTGTTGGCTAAAACTAACTTACAAAAATCAAAACAAAACAATACACCATATATTGAGAGATTAACTGTTCACTCAAAGCTTTTTAGGCAGACAATAAACACGTTTTATAAGTTTTTTAGAATTCTCTTTAACAGATGACAACCGAGTAGAAGGGTCCATGAATTTTTGAGCTTGGAATGTTGTACGAACTTCCTCGTAGACAGCTCACATTTCCGGACAAACTCTGTCTTTTGCAGATGCTTTACTTTTGACATATTTAAGTAGTAGCAAGTTACTTGCCTGAGGCAAAATTGTACTTATGTTTCGCACTTTGGTATCAATTATTATAAATGCAGTGCTAAAAGCTTTTTGCTCTTGTGCAAAGTCTGGTGCTCAACGTGGCTTACTCTTCGGAAATGGCGATTATAAAGTTTTTGAATTTATATTTGTTACTTCAGTTAAGTAATTATTTTTTCTTCTTTTTCGTCTGTGGCTGCTGCTTTTTCCTTTGTTTTCCTCTTGCTGTTGTTGTTCTCTTTCTTCTTCTCCTTCTTCTTCTTCTTCTCCTTCTTCTTCTTTTTCTTCTTCTCCTTCTCCTTCTCCCCCTCCTCCTCCTTCTCCTTCTGCTGCTGCTCTTTCTAAATTTCTTTCTTAGGCCCAAACATATTTTTTCCTGTTGTGCGTCTTTGACTAAAATATCTATTCCTAATCTCAGTCATATGAATAGAGCAATATCAAATGTATCAAAAATTTAGTTTCAAGGAAGGGTGTGTGGGGAAACAGTTAACAGTTATTTCCGCCCGGAAATGAAAGTAACTACCTTCCAGACTTTTTTCCTTCCTTCGTAGACGTCACTCCTTTTCCTCTGTCGTTTCTCAGGAAGATTACTTTTTTTAAACGATATTTTAAATATCGCCAAAGTAGTGAAAAAGCTGTTTTGTACGGTACAGTTTCATTTACAATAGTTTTAAAAAAACAATGCCAGAGTACCTTTTAACTACTACGATTCTGCTAAGATGAAAACGACTTTTGAAGAAAAAGTAAAGTTGATAGAAAATTCGACTTACATCCAAATTCTATTTTTGTAGTCAAAATATTTTAATTTGGGGCTACAGAACTTATATAATTCCAAAATAGTATTTTTAAAAAGGCTAATGGTTTGTGAACGGCGACAGGCAAAGTAGCTAAACTGTAATTGTAACCGTGGGTGGATTGTAGATGATCTTTTTGGTACATTTTTGTACTCTCTCCATTAAAGTCGCGATTACACAGAATCAATTTTCTCTGCAACTTGTCTCGTAACAGCGTTGCAACACCAGTTGCAAGAGTGATTACATGGTGCAACGGAGACGCAATCGTTGCCAAAAGTAGAAATGAATTCTACTTTTCGCAACGATTGCTGCAACTTATCTCGCAACATTTTTCAAATTTCGTGGTGTGTCGCAACGCCGTTGCGAGACAAGTTGCAGAGAAAATCGCACCGTGTAATCGCGGCGCCCCAAGAAACTAGGAAACTTAAGTTTAAAAAAACCCAATTCACTCAACGCTGAATCAAAGCGAATTTCTTTCTTTTTTTTTTTTTTTTAGATTGCCAATAATTTTCTTAAGTTTTACCGCGTTTTCTTAGTTCAACCAAGTAAAAATATCTCCAACACTATATACAACTCATTCCGGCTGCACATTAGGGCTGAAGTTACAAGTCAAGACAGGTTTCTTGGTAAAGCTTTTAACTGACTTTATTTGTAAACATGTTTTTGTATTTTAATTTAATACTATTAATGTTTTTCAATTATACTTTCTCTCGCGTTTTAGATTCACTTTATTAGGATAGTTTAAAAAAACTACTGAATGGATTTCGTAGGAAAAATGTTAAAGAGCTGATAACGAAGGACTGGCTGCCTGTACCCTTGACGATAAATATTACCATTTTAATGTGTTATTCTGTATCATTAATTGACCTTTCGTCATATCTAAGTCCCCTTACACGATTTTCTGTCACAATGTTTATTGATTCGGTCCACAGTAGTTCTTTTTCCATCAGTAAAAATGACGCGAAGGACAAGGACATTTGTAAATATTATCATGGACAAAAACCCTCGGCGTCAGGGAGTCTGAAGTGCTGCAAGATGGCAACACGTTAGATAAACAGAACCGTTCTTCTCGTTACCAGAAGATGGAAAAATAGCACACGTATATTCTAACCTTGGCCATCTAAACTTGGATTTCTTGTGTTGGACTTCAAAGAGCAAAATAATTAATAAATAGTGAGCTATTTAGATAATAAATGTAGTGTTTTGGGTGACACAAAAATTGAACTGTATCGATAAGCTACAAATATTTCAGAAAAGGATTTAAATTTTTTTTTCTTAAAACATTTTTTTCTCAAGCAATATTTAGACACTGAAATCCAAAAGAAACTCCAAGAATCATTAAGCCATTCAATTATTCATTTGGCCAATAATATTTCATTAAAATAAAGATATTATAGATCTTCAGTTTAGATACTCAGTGCAGAAAATTTCATTTAGAAGTTAACCAACTTGGACTTCGCTATTAGGAATAATAATTTATAAATCAACGAAGAGTGAGAAAGAAACAGCAAGAGCTCGAACTTTTCGCTTCATTTTGTTAGTACAGGCACTGTACAAATATTTATCGACAATCCCAGCTTGTCAACACGCTATTGTACTCGAAAATTTTACATAAACTCTAGGAAAAAATAGCTGAATTGATATAAATGCCTTGGTAATTTTTGCTACCAAAGAATACGGAAAATTAAGTGATAAAAATATCTGGTTTTCCCACAGTGTCACGTTCATGTAACTGTTCCTACCATTAAACATGTAAAGCATGCTTCTCTAACTTAGTTTTAACCTCTGGAGCTTTCTAAAACTTTGAGTCGGGTTCTAAAAACTCAGTTTAATATTAATAATTTGTATCATCACCAAATAAAATTTTCTTGATTCTTAATACCAACATTTTTTCAATAGTGATTATATAAACATAGAAATGACACAACGTGACTTAATTTCCATCCTCCTAATCCCTAGGTATTGAAGGTGTCCAATGATTTTCATCATGTCATTAAAAATGGTCAAGTATATCACAGAATATTCTTAATCACAACTATATTGAATACCTGCTTTTATCCCAAGAATTAAGGTTTTTAAAATGAGTTATTTCGTCTAATTGATTCAAGCATTCATTAGGATCTATCTTTAATGTATCATGGTTATTTTGATATTACTATTAGTGTTATATTTTAGGTTGTTGGGTAATTTGAGCACTTCAAGACTTTCCTTCCCAAGGGATCCCTCGTTTAACAGATTTAATTCTCATTTTTAAGGGAGTTTTTTGTAAAGACTCCAGGATTCTTCGCTCTCACCAGCGGGGACTATTAACTAAGTGACAACTTGTTTTACTGTGTCAATATTGTGGTCACGTCCGGGAGAAAAAAATTAATGTGGTGCCTTATTTAAAGGTGAAGGTTGAATTTTTATCCTTGGTAGTTATAATTTTTTTATCGCTAGTTAACTAATTATATAACTGAAGATCGAGACGAACGACTAGGTCTAATCCGATTTCGATACCAGATAGTATCCTAATGCCCCGCCTCGAGCATTATCGTCCCGCGAGCATGTCATAAACATCATTCATTAAACTAACGCGCGCGCGCGCGCGCGAACGAGTGGAATACAGCCAGAGCCCTCAAGGGACGGAAACCACATTTTCAACCTTTTTATCTCCTATCAAGGCACATTCTTGCAGCGTTCTCTAAAACAAATAATATCATTGAGTACAGCTCGACGTATTGCCCTCTCGATCCATCATGAACTTTGTAACCTGATATTCAGCTCAAATTGTCCTAAAAATAATCAAAGTCTTGCTCGCCAGCAAGACTCCGGCTCATCTTTATAAGGCGGTTTGAGCTCGTGATAGCTGTCAGAAAGATGGTTTTTGATTGGTTGGTTAGTAGATTAATATGTACCGGTTCACGTGATTAGTTCAGCTTAATTTCAAAGGCTCCTGTCACATGTGTTGTTACATATTTGAGCTCGGTCAGTTGGGTTCACAGAGAAAAAATTTTTTGGCGTAGACAACACTTCCACGAGAGAAACTAAGTTGATGGAGAGCACAGAAAATATTCCTTTAATGGACAGAAGGATTGTTAGGGACAAACGTTTGTCTCATCTTCCTCCTATTACTGTCCCAACATCAGAGGGTTTTCCACGACCGAGAGAACAAGCCTTGAGATACACCAAATGGCTCGGAAACCTTGCTGCAGCCGGTCCTGGAAGCCCAAAGAAGGATGACAAATTTACAGAGTCAGAGCGAATTAAGAGACCTATGAACGCGTTCATGGTTTGGGCTCAGGTGGAAAGAAGGAGGCTGGCAGATGCTAATCCAGAGCTTCATAATGCGGAGCTTAGTAAAATATTAGGCACGACGTGGCGCGGGTTGAACGACTTGCAGAAACGTCCGTATGTTGAAGAAGCAGAGAGATTGCGTCTACAACACATGCAGGACTATCCTGATTATAAATACAGACCTCGTAGACGAAAACACCCTAAAAGAGTTTGCAAGAGGATGATGYCTTCCTCAAGCAGTCATCAGAGCAATCTTAAAGCAAACGAAGCAAGTGGGTCCAGGTCTGGAGAAGAGCCTCCTACTAGTGATGATTCTAATCTATTCTCAATCCCAGGCACTCCAACAAGTCCTAGTCTACCAAGCCCAAGTATAGGCAGTACGACTATCCAACATTTCCACTTCAGGACGGAAACACAACCAACTCAGATGCAAACTACACCAACTCCTTTTCCAGATCTGAGCGACATTGACCTACCAACCCCGGAGTCGAGTCCTGCTGCAGTAGGCATCAAGCCTGGAAAAGTGTTCAATTTCCCCACCACGGAGGATGAAATACGTTACGCTCTGATGCTACTGCAGAGACCTAACGAGGACATCGACAAGTCCAAGGTTCAGGCCTCAAAAATGGACATCTCGGAAATCTTTGGCAACATTAATTTTCCTTCGTCAATGTACTCTCCTCCAAGTCCTTGTGGCGTCCCTACATCTCAAGCTTGCAGAAACAGCACAGATCTGGAAGAAACCTCCACACAGACCGTCCCGTTCTGCGACTTATTTCTGGGGGAAGTCAACAAGTCCGAGTTTGATCAGTACCTCGATGGAAGCGAGGTGGACACAAGTAGTCTTGAAGACTATTAATCTGTACAATAGTATCCGCGCAGTTCAAAATTGCAATGTTAGTAGTTTTCTATTTCTAGGTAGACCAAACATGGCATGCCGACATCAGCATGAATATTTGAATGAAGGACGAAATTTTTCTTCATATTGAAGATAACTTTCGTGCATTTTGTCTAATATTTGCACTTTTCTATCTTTTGTATTTGTAAAAAGGATTTTTATTTAGTATATTTTGCAACTTTTCGAGTTTACATACGTTCATTGTAGATCTGTTCTGCAACGCTTATGTGTGTTTGAACAAAATAGAAAAATAATTTTATATGTAGGAGCTCGCTTAATATTATCTTGGGGACTTTGGATTTAATTTATATGTCTCTGCAAAGGAAATACTTTTATTTTAAGGCAGAGAAGAGGTTTGTCTTCATTAAAACTCTTATTTTTTCCAGTCTTGGGTCTGTGTTTTTGTTTGTATTCGTTCAGGTTGTCTTGAACTTTCTCAATCTTCAAGTCCCTCAGTTTCTTGATGCCTTGTCACTAGAGGTCGTACATGAAAATCAAGATATGTACTTGGAAGCGATTGGTTAACAGCAGATGAAGTGCGCAACACGCCTGTCAACACATGTCACTTAAGACAGTCACAAACCAAATGCAGATAAATTAAATTTCCAAGGATTTCTAAATCAAAAGAAACATATATATCACCCTCGCCTACTCGTTATCTCTGCACATCAGAGCTCTATACGAGATGTCATCTAAGGTAGGGGAGTTCGAGTGGTTGAATCGCAGCTTTGATCAGATGGACTTCATCAATCTGTTTTCAATTTGCACATTTGCCAAGTATGAACATTTCTAATCCCCGCACCAAATGCGTTTTACCTCAACTTGTGTTGGGTTCTTTGATTGATGTTTGACAGGACTCAGATGACACCAACCTTCAAACAAATCCTACATCAGAAGGCTTTTCAATTCGCTTTCTCTGGGTTAGTAATCCCAGAAGAAAAGCTGTTCAAACATCGGTAATCACTCGTAATACTCTCATTTGTGCCTCTTGTGGACTGTTATCTTATACTCATCTACACCGGAAATGGTTCTTGTTCGAACATTAGAAAAGACAAAGGGCCACTGATTTGTGCTAATTATTCATTAACACCGCTCCAATTGAACGTTCTTCGTAATGTCACTCAAGGCGACTAAATACCTTCGCATTCTCTATATACCACTTCCAAAACTCTTCCTAAAACCTTTTTTTAAACGGATTGTAATCCTCAAACTTTCCTTTGTTTTCAAAATTTCTTAGCCAAAAAATCTGTAAAATCTTATTTCGTTTTATGGTCTCAGAATTGCTTCAATAACTTCGACAATTCCCAGCGGAATTTTCGTACTATATTTCGTATTATGGTCTTAAAATGGCTTGAATAACTTTGACAAATTTCCAAATATTTTTACAACAAATAAATACTGTGGTTCGAACCAACACATGAGTGTATCGTTATGACCATATTGAACCAGGTTATATAAAGTCTGTAATTTATCTCACGTAGGTAATGTGATTCATACGATAGAAAGTTTACTATAGCATTAGAGTCCTTAGTATCGTACTAATAATCCCTGCAGTCCTAGTACTGGGAGAGATAAGAGATAAGATCCAGTCATAGAATTCTGACAACCCTCCTGATATTCTATACGCCATTCAGTAAAGTCTGTGTAAACTAAATCTAAACCGCAGAAACTGAAAAATCTGTCAGTGCAGAAAAGCTGAGCCAAGAATGGATGGTTTTAAAAGTTGAAGAGAGTTTGATGATCTATAGGGCAGAAGGAAGGAAGGAAGGAAGGAAGGAAGGAAGGAAGGAAGGAAGGAAGGAACGAAGCCAAGGGAACACCAGACTTATTTATAACGTTTTCCTATAAAATAGCTTCAAAATTGGGTTCAAATTTCAAATTGGATATCACTATGTCCAGGAATTCCCAGGTCGACTGAGATGCCAGACGAGAACAGAATAATTGTCTGTCTCTCGGTTAAACTGACGACATTGTTTGACGCAAAAGGATGGGGAGATCAAGGGGTTGGCGATATTTATGCCATATAAAAATTACTATGAAATAAATCATTGGCCAACATATAAATATCTTTACATCGGACAGGAGGTAAGTTTCCTTGTGACGCAATGTACTGTCAAACCTCTAATTCAATAAAGCCTAGAGGCATGGTTACTTATAGAATCAAACTTGATACCAAAGCTTTTTTTACTACCATTTTTTTCAAAACCGGTTTTTCTTGCTTTTCTTGTTGAGCGCATTTTACGAGCGTCTTAGTTCAGGCACCATTGTTAGACTCGACATCACGTAGAAGTAGAGTTTGTTGTCTCTCTCTCCCTTAATTCGATCTCTCTGTGTTTTTTCTCTCTCCAAAAAAAAAAAACAAACAAAAAAAAAACGCAACATGATAAAATGCAGTTTGATCTGTGAGTCAGCCGTGCCCTGACTTTAATCAGCCCAGAGGCTGTTTCAGGGTTTTATCGATACAGCCACTCGGTACAGCCCATAGGTTGTTTCAATGCCTAATAAAGCTATATATAGAAAAGAGGCCGCGACTAGCTAATTTCCAGGTTAAATATAGCTTTAAAGAGGCCAAAGAGTGTAAGAAACAGAGATAACTCATTTCGCTGTAGCCTTTGTAGCGGCCCAAAGGGGAAAGTGAAGGGGGAGCTTTGGATTGTTACGCAGGCTGACTACGCTGCCAAGCTCAGCCACACCCGGGCCTGACAGGCCTGTGCCATGATCAGCTTAACTTGCGAGTTTCATAATCCCTTTAAGCTAAAAACACTCTGTATATAAGGGGCTCAATAATCTACAAATTAAGCCATTATTTGCATTAAGAGACGCGTTCAAACTCGTTTAAATTAAAGTCAACTTAAACGAGAACACATGCCTCATGCAATACTGACTTCGCCAGATCATATTATATTTTATCTGATTTTTTGTACTTTTGATTTCTTAAATTCCTTTAGTAGGTTGCAAACAAAATTCCAGGTAGCAAGATAATCTATATGAAAGAAAAAAATGCTGACTTAAATGTAATAATACGGTACTAAATATTATGCAACATGATACAAACCACGTTGTACGTGCAGTTGAAGGTTGCACATAGCTGTACCTGGAATAGTAACACGATACAAATATACTTGAACTCTATTCAAGATTTAACCCTTTCGATTTGATTCTTTACGTTTCCAAAATTCTCTCTTTCATCTGACACTGTCCAGGCTATTCAAAAGAAATTGCATCAAATAAGCATTCCTTTACCAGAATGAAATGCCAAGAAGGCGTTGGGTAGCTTTACGTGCCAGGTAAAGTGTGCTCGCAAATAGCTCCACATCGACTTCGAATTTTTTCCTGGAATTRATTCGATTCTAACTTAATTTCCAGACAGAATTCCAGACAGTCAGCATTTAAAAACATTTCAGTCATCGCCTCAATTAAGTGACAGGAGCAATCTCATTGTTGATGGCAAGCATATGACTGGCATCTGAAAACCGAGAGGATTGAATATCCAGATCGTGCAAATGGAAGGTTCTAGTTTTAACTTCAATTTTGTTTTAATTTTTTTTTAAATTGAGGACTTATTTTAAGAGCCAAAAAAATTTTCGCTTTCAAAGTCCTCAACCAGTTGTAATTTAACTTGTTGTAAGCTTACAACATAAAAATTTCTTATACGAATCGTTTTTTTTTTCCTTGTCTGTTGCAGGTCCAGGTAATAAAAAGAGTGGGCTATTAATCTGAATCTGCAAAATAAGATATTTTAAATAAGATATTTTAAAACACATAAACAGAACCTATGAATATGATCGAAATTATGATAGTTCTGCATTTTCTACCTATGAGCGAGCAGGAAATTGGATTCTTTTAAAGCCATTTAAACAATTCTAAGACACTTCACAGTAAAGTTATGAAAGCAAAATAAAGCGATAAAACACCTGAAGATAAAGGAAAAGCTGACAGAATATTAAGGGTTAGGCAAAAAATGTGTTAGAGTATTACTTTGTTTGGTTTGAAAACTATGTTACGAGACAGGTACTCTTGATACATGGAGATAAGGTCAGTTTGCACTATTATGTGCAATCAAGACCAAGACAATTATTGGTTTTTACTAAAGCAAAGTACGTTGGTCTTTGATAACGATGCCTTTTCAAATTCCACACGATAATAACTCTATCACAAGCTTGAATTGATCGTTAGGCGTAGTTCAGATCGAAGCTATACGTTGGACAGAATACAATACATCCTGCAACACCAAGAATACAATACATCCT